TTTGGCAGGACTGTAGAATGTTTTTTGTGGATTGAAATTCTTTATTCACACAACTGATTTTCATTATTAATAATAATAATAATAATAATTAAATAAATAAAAAACTTATATTTGTTGCGGTGGATAACTCAGGATTACAATAAACTGACGTGGCTTTCAACAAATAACATGAGTCATAGTTTTAGCCAATCAGAGCAGAGCAGGGCGGGTCATTCTTTCTGACCCCAGGTGAAGCTCCACAGCTCCTCCTGGACCTGTTCACCTCCCCTCCTCCCAAACTGAGCTGCTGAACCTCTAATATAATTTCCTGTCCATGTATTGTAGATATGAATGTAGGGTAAACATTTAATTCACTTTCTTTCATTGGTTCTGATTCAACAGCTTCTATGTTGTTCAGTTTTTTATTGAATTTACATGACATTAAACCTGTTTATTGGTAACACTCTGCAGTAGCAGGAGGTAATTGTCGTCACACGTGGTTCTTGAATTTGAGGAAATTGGTACTGGAAAGTCCTTGAATTTGATGTTGGCCAAGGTGCGGGAACCCTGTTTTCAACTGGACCCATGAATTTTCTGTGTTTGTCTCATTTTAGGGCGAGCGACTAAGTCACGCTGTCGGTTGTGCGTTTGCTGCGTGTCTGGAGCGAAAACAGAAACGTGAAAAGGAGTGTGGTGTCACGGCAACCTTTGATGCTAACAGAACCACTTTCACTCGCGAGGGCTCGTTTCGTGTTACCACAGCAACAGAGGCAGCAGAGCGAGAAGAGGTCATGAGACAGATTCAGGATACCAAAAAGGGTCTGTATCTGTAACTCAAACTAACATTTAGATCAGTTAATGAAGATAATTTCAGCTCAAATGTTTTAAGATGAAGAGTTAAAGTTTATTGTGGATGGTTGTAGGTTGGTCATATTTAGTTTGTTTTGAAAAATATTTATCACCTTTTGAATATTATCTTAGTTTTTCTTTCTAAGAAACCTGTGAGTGTATTGTCCCCTCATTGCTGCCCTCTGTGTGTGTGTGTGTGTGTGTGTGTGTGTGTGTGTGTGTGTGTGT